CCCGGCGTTCGTATTTGAATTCCACCCAGACCTTTGATTTGCCGCTTGTGGTGAGATAAAATCCACGTCGCAAGCGTTGTGTGACATCCAACGAAACCCTAACTTGCATATACTCCAGCACGTCTAAATATTTGTCTTTGAGCAATTCATGTGTAAAAATTCCGATTTTATTCGTCACTTGTTGTGCCACCCTCGACTTTCGTTGGCTAGCCATAATTTGGTGGAAACGGACTACGATGCTCGTCATGTTCACCTCAACCTCCCTTGATATTGCGTTCGCTGCAAGTTCATGGAACAGGAGGGCGAACATCTCCAAGATCTACGGGCAGCCATGTAATGCGTGTTTCTTGTCAGGGACATTTTGTAATTTTTGAAAAGTTAAAAACGTGTTTGGAATATAAATTTTCAAATATTTTTGTTGCTTCCTTAATTAATTGCACAACTTCATGACAATTGCAAATTGATAGTTGATAATAATATTTGTATGAGAATACAAAAAAATTATATAAATTTTTTTGTATACATGTTTGTATAACATATTTATAAAAACACCAATATACTTTTAATATTTATAAGTATCTCTAAAGTTTCGGTATCCCCAGTTTTGGGATATGCCGTTTCCCCGTGTCACAGTTTTCGTTTCCGTGCCACATAGCTGACTATAGTTATGAAACTCAATTAATACTATAAATCAACTTGGACAATCATGTATTCGACTCGACTTGATTTGTTTGGGACAATGTTTTATTCATGGTTATCATATTGAAATATATCGCCGTATCGTTTTCCTCCACATATTGTACCGTATCATTTTCCTCCACATGTCGTACCGTATCTAAGATATTTGATTAACTATTAAAAATAGTACAAAATATATATCACATAATAATAATACGATAAAAATGTAAAAAATAATATTTTAAAGTCAAACCATTCATTTAAAATCAAAATAGATCTAAAATCAAGTTTCAACATTAAATTATTGACTAAAAATTAATACTAGTGTCGATTTTATTGCATTTGCTAATATAAATTGCTTTTATTTGAAACATTTTTTTTTGGGATTTTGCTTAATTAAAAAAATAAATAAGAACAAACGCGATAATTATGAACAAAATAATGAAATATGCTGAAAATTGAAAAAATCATTGTAAAATATGCAGAAAATCGACAAATTACTCTAAAATGTTGAAAGTCGCACAAATCACCCCTAGATGTGTCTAAAATCGCACAAATTACTCATAAATGTGCTAAAATCACACAAATCACCCCTAAATGTGCTGAAAATCGCACACATCACCCTCAAAACAAATATTGTAATGATCGTATCGTATTGTATAGGATATCGTATCTCATCACGGTATCGAGCGATATTTACTCATCGCTATATACCACAATATTGACTACACTAGTTTTATTTCGTAATTTTCCCAAAATGTAATTGACCTATTCTCTTTTCTTTTTTCTCAAGAAAACTCAAAATTGGATTTGGCTACCTATGTCCTATAGTGTGAAAAAGCTGAAATTCGAACGTGTCACAATTATTATAAATAAAAAAAATATATAAAATGGGCTCACCAGAAAGCCGAAAAATCAATAAAAAAAACAATTAAAAAAATAAAATAAAACAGCTCTTGAATTTTATTTCCCCGACTTTCCAAACTCGTGAGACGCCAGCCACCATCGATCTAAAAGAAAGCCTCATTCGATACGATTCTTCATTCGCGAACAACACGATCTCTCTCCACTCTCGTAAGCATTTTCCAGTTTGTTGCGATTCATTTTTTTTTGTTTATGTAATTCGAGCTACTTGTGGTTGAATTTCCGCTTCTCTTTCGTGTATGATTTTCGATTTTTTTTTTTGTTTTAAATATATTATGTTGTTGATCTGCTGAAAATCGTAGTAGAAATGCGCTACTACGCTTGTGTTTATGTGAAATTTGATTTTTTTGGAATTAATTTTGTGTTGCAGTGAAAAAAAAAATTTGGTTTCCGTGAGCAATGGTGTTCCATAAGAGCGTTTCTCTATTATCCAAGCTGCGTTCCGGCGCTGTGAGTATTTTTTATTTTATTTTTCTGGAAAATCGGCTGCTGTGACTTTGCTTCAATTGTGTTAATTAATTAATTTGGATCAGATGATAAGATGACGAAGAATTGGTTTCGTTTGATTTTTTTTTTTCTCTATTTTATTAAACCCTGGAATCTGTTTTGTAATAGGTTCAACAGCCAGGTCTTCGCAATTCTGTCCGCTGGCTTCAAGTCCAGACCTCCTCCGACGTTGTAAGCCTTCTATGCATCATCTGATTTTGTAGCTTGGATAGCTAGTCATCAGAGCTTTGTTAATTTCAATATAAAGCTTTAATGGCTCCTTTCCCCAGTCATCGAAGAAAAGAATAGGAAAAAAAAGTTAAAAATGTCATGAAAGTGTATTCTGATATATGTATATTGTTGTCAAACATGGTACTAAGCTTCGCTAGATTATAGTAAGAGAAGTAAACAAAACTCAAGAAAATTGTATTTTCCTGTCTAATAACGACAACACAAGAAGGGATAGGGTAGGCATGCGGGGAACAGAAGAAGATTTTCCAATTTATACATGAATTATTACTGTTTTTCGATTCTTATTTGCCAGTTTCATGTTAAGAATACTAACGTACTAAGTATCAAGTATTTTTTCCTCTCTAAATCTTAAATGACATTAAGGAAGTTCAGTTTCATAACATACAGAATGCAGGTTCGTAGCTTTAGAAAACTAATGTAAGGTAATAACTAATTTCTCCGCGAAGAAGAATGGAGTGGTGATTTGTGTGTAGATAGCAATTTTTTAATTTTTACTTAGAATTTGGAAAAATTGACCTAATTTGAGGCTCAAGAGATTGATTAGATATGGATGTCGCCTGTGGGACTCTGAAAAAATTATTGCCTACAGAATGCAGAATACTGATTCTTCTTTTTCAAAGTAATAATTCTTGATCAATACTTATGATGGGTGCTTGTTTCGGTATCCGATTTTTTTTGTTCTTAAAGCAACTAATTTGATATTTGCTGATGTGATTGTACTATCGAATCATCTGTAGGACCTTCATTCTCAGCTAAAGGAATTGATTCCAGAACAGCAGGTACATTTACTATGCTAAACTAATAGATTTGGTTACCTACCGGTATAGTATAAGAGTTACGCTTAACCGGTTGGTTCTGAGAAAGACAAAATATCCAAGTATCTACATGTATGCTTGTTTACATATAGGAAGTTTTTTTTGTTCATTGGTGTTAACTGTAGTCTATATTTATTTATCGCAGGAGCGCCTAAAGAAACTTAAATCAGAACATGGAAAGGTTCAGCTGGGTAACATCACTGTTGATATGGTACGATTTTCGTTTGTTTTTATACTTCATTGGGATATTTTTCTTTGATTTTGGAGAAATTGACAACTCCGGTACTGATTCATTTGTTGGAACATTTTTAACAGGTACTTGGTGGGATGAGAGGCATGACAGGATTATTGTGGGAAACCTCACTGCTTGATGCAGAAGAGGTACATACCCTCTGGCATACTTTAGGAGTGTAAAATACCCATGCAGATTACGGTTACATATTCCATGACAGACTTTAAATATTTAGTTAATTCTCTCCGTCATTCAACTTGTTTTGTTAGGGTATTCGCTTCCGGGGTTTATCTATTCCGGAGTGTCAAAAGTTGTTACCAGCAGCAAAACCTGCTGGAGAACCATTGCCCGAGGGTCTCCTTTGGCTTCTTCTAACAGGAAAGGTAGTTTGCTTTGCTGTCTCAATGCATCTACTCATCTCTTTAGTTCAGTTAATATTATGCTTTAACTTGTATGTTATGTTAGACCATGCTGAATATTTTGTATACGCCTCCATAGAATCAGCACCGCTTTGTAGTTGACTACTCTTTGAGCCTCCTCCAAGTTTTTTTTGGGATCCTCTAATCTCTTTGATGATTTAAAGGCTGATATACTTTTCTTTCTTCCCTCACTTCATTTAGGTTCCAACCAAAGAGCAAGTGGCTGCATTATCAAAGGAATTGAGAGATCGTGCTACTGTCCCAGGTTCTTCGTCTCTCAAACTCTTTCAACTGCTTAGACTATGACTCTGTAAAGATAATTCAGTATTAGGTTCCTTATTTGTGCAGCATGTTGTGCCTCCAAACTTTCGCAACCGTTGAATAGTATAATAATTGTTTATGCTATTTTCAGTTTCTTGATCTATATCAGTTCGTATACAACGGAATAGGCTCTTTTTCTTCTGCAGTGTGTTATTTTCACTTTCTCATGCATTAGTTTTAAACTTGAAATTTCAGTATCTTATGCAGTCCTTCATGCTACAGGGTCAAGCAGAAGTTGCTAAGCCTTTAATAGCTCTACGGAAATGTTTCATTCGTGAATTTTACTCTTATGTATTCGTTATTTTTATTGCCGATCATGTATATAAAACCATTGATGCGTTGCCTGTTACTGCTCATCCGATGACTCAGTTTGCCACTTGGAGTCCTGGCTCTTCAGGTTGGTCTTGATGCATATAGTCATCTTAAGATGTGTCTTGATGCCTG